CAGTGACTGAGGAAGCTGAGGCAGTAGAATTTTAGGTTTGAGGACAGCTTTGACAACTTAGTGAGACTTTGTCTCACTATAAAAATAAAAGCCCTCCAACCCTGGGCTCAATCTCCAGTACCACTAATGAAATAAAATGAATAATTTTCCAGGCTGATAAGTAAGGCTTATGAGAGCCTATAAGAGCATAAAGTAAGGCTTATGCTCTGCTTGAGTTTATAAAATGCTAGATAGAGGAATCATATTCTTTCAACTGCATTTCATTTCATATCTTTTAGATATATAATTGCAATTACTTTTAACTTTTCTTTTGTTTCCTTTATACCCATCTGTATTTTTTCTGTCCTACCTCATTACTATATACAATTTAAAAAAAAATATTTATTTTTTTGGTTATAGGTGGGCACAATATCTTTATTTTATTTTTATATGGTGCTGAGGATCAAAACTAGTGCCTCATGCATGCTAGGCGAGCACTCTACCACTGAACCATGGCCAGCCCCTATACACAATTTTTAACCCTCCAAACTACACATACATCTATACTTTTCTCATCTCTAAGCACTTGCCCAATGTCTTCACTCCAACTAGCGCTTCTACACAATACTTTGTACTTCTGTTCACATACTTCCACTCCCACCAAATTAGGACCTTCTCATATTTAGAATTGAAGTTTAGAGTCATCTTCTCCAGAAAAGCCTCTGTGTAGAGTGGTGGAACCAATTTATATAGTTCATTGCTATTCACTTTTTTCAGCTCCTTATTCACTGTGACATATTGAAACCTTGAAATTAGCCATAGAAATCGGCAAACACTACAAGTCAGCTGTTAAAGATTTAGCAGCACAATACTAGAGCCCCTCCTGATACCCTTATCTCCACAGTCAGTACTTTACGGCTTTCTAAATTTCTAAGTCCCATAGACCTTTTTCCCTTCATTCATGTCTGTGCTCCTCCCTGATCACATTAGACAGTAAGCCCCATAGTCAAGGCATGTGTCTTATTGGTCTCATGATCCCAGCACTAAGCACATCAATACTTATTGTAAGCCAAGCATGGAGGCAGTATCTGTAGTCCCAGCTACTCAGAGGCTGAGGCAGAAAGATCAGTTGAGCCCAGGAGTTTGAGAGGCAACCCATTGAGACCCCTCCATCTCTTAAAAACAAATGAACACTCAGTGGATACTAAAAAATAAATAAATAAATGAACTGTTAAATGAAACATGCAGAGGACCAGCTGGAATTGCTTAAGTTGAGAAGATGATCATGAGACCTGAAGGGTCATAAAAAGATTTGCCTGGAAAAGAAATCCCTTCTCCCCAGGTCACTACTGTTTGAGGCACCAAATTTTTAGCAAGCCCCAGGTATTATATATTCAGCACCTATGGGATGGAATCATTTATCAAAAGATTCAAACAGAATCAGTATGGCTTTCTGAAGCAATAGTTTGGAGCTATGTCTTTAGGTAGTAGTAGAATGACATAGTTTGTTGCAGCCAGATCTCTCACCATAGGGGGACCAAAAGTGTGAAAATGGTACTGAAGACTACCGTTAAAGTGACGCAATGATGATGGCTATCTTGGAAATGCTGCCGTTAATACTTTGAGATACTAGCACTTCTGTTTTGGACTTCACTGGATGTGGGACACAATCTGAGTTTAAACTACTTATTGTCAGGGTAGGGGAGAGATATTCATGGGAAACCTCTTTGATGTGCCTTGACCTATATTCCTTTTTAAACTTCACAGAGACTAATTCTAATTCCGAAGAAGGGTTTCTATAACTTCTGCCATGTAAGATTAATTCTCTGTTTCTATGGCATATTTATGACAGCTTTGACTTTTTAAAGTAGAACCAAGTTTCATTTGGAAAATAAACCAACCAAGTATGTCTCTGTTGACAAATTGAACTGTGCTGTAGGTCTGTCTCTCTCACACTTAAGGTAAATGTATTTTAGTGATGTGACATGGAAAGAGGTCAGGCTGTGCAGGTCTAACATGGTAGTGGAGTGTAGGATTAAAAGGGTATTGGTGCCTGAGGGAGGAAAGGTGGATTTTTCCACATATCATAGAAGTGAACCAGGAGAACTTGATGATTAAGTACAGGGAATTAAGTCTGGGGGTCAGTGAGGATGCTGTAATTATTAGGAGTTAATGGGGCCCTGGATATTGGCTACTTCCAGCTACCATGCTGGGAAAGAAACCTTATCTCCATAGGAATTGCAGTTAGAGACTGAGAAGCCCGGAATAGGCCTTCCATTGCCCCAACCTGCTCACTGTCTCACCAGCCTCTGGCTCTCATACAAGTGCCAGTTAATCCAATGTTGGACTCTGGCAAATACAAAGACTCTTAGATCTTTCCATTGCCAATAGAAAAGAGCTAGGCTGCTCTTTTCAAAAACAGCTGACAATGCACATGCTTTTCCTCAATTATAAATAGCTCCTCTGTCTTTCTGTTTTTTAAAGTTAGGTTAAAGAGAAGGAGGGAAATACAAATCTGTTGCATAAGGAAATGAGTTAAACTTTAAATACAGGCACGCAGTCCTCCAATCAAAAGGACATTTTGTTGAAGATAAGCATGTTGGTTATTACATTTCTTTAAATATCTATAGAGGCTATACATTGATTGAATTATTTTGAAGGTTTGTTGTTTTCTTTAAAGTGGAACTTACCTACTGAGAATTGGGGTATAGAATTTAGGCTGCTTTTCTGGAATAATGTAAATCATAATTATACATAAATATGCAGATGCATAATAATAAGACTCAGAAAGCAAACAGGAAATGTTGGATAAATGGCAATGGATTGAATACATTAATTTAACTGTACTCCTTCTGAATGCCCCTATAAAGTGATATTATTAAATGTATATGCTTAAAGAATAAGCCAAAAGACAATGCATGTGTAAAAGGATGGTTATAACAAAATGTTGGAGGCTGAAAAGCAGAGGACATATCTTTTATACCCCACATCAAACTTTCACATCCTTTGGTGGAGTGAGAAAGCTGAAAGGCATCTATCCAGTACACTGTGGGCCTTTTCTGAGTGCACTGCAGGGGATTTTAAATGCCTGGGGACAGAGCAGAAAGAGAGAGAGAGGAATCTTTTGAGGAGCAAAAAGCTGGGTTCAGGACTGGAGTGCAAGAAGAACTTCCTGAGGGGCTGGGGATGTGGCTCAAGGGGTAGCGCGCTCGCCTGGTATGTGTGCGACCCGGGTTC